TCCAGCATCTGCAGTTCCTACTATCTCTGATTCGAGATACAGACCAAGTTGCTTTATTTTTGTTTCATGTATATTTGCCCTCCATGGGGCTGTCACGGTGGCTCGATGGTAGCACTGCTGCCTCCCAGCACAAGGGACCTGGGTTCAATTCTGCTCTCAGGTGACTGTCTGTGTGGAGTTTGCACATTCTCCCCATGCCTGCGTGAGTTTCCTCCAGGCTCCAGTTTCCTCCCACAGTCCAAACATGTGCAGGCTAGGTGAATTGGCGATGGGAAATGCCGGGTTTTAGGGTGGGGGGGTTGGATCCAGGTGGGATGCTCTTCGGAGGGTCAGTGTGGACTTGATGGGGCGAATGTCCTGTTTCCACACTGTAGGGATTCTATAATTCCACAATTCACTGTCTTTGAACAATTTCTGCTGGAGTTGTCCTCCTGTGGTGATCATGTTATTTGCACGAAGCATAAAACAAGCAGAAAACAGTGACACTGGACAGAAATCATGGCCCTGACTCTTTAAAACACAGGATGTTCCTGTAACTCTCAGTCTCAGGAGTTCTGTGCTTCTCAGAGCAAGGCACTAATCAGGGACAAGTATTGGAAAGCAGTACCACAGAATTACAGAATTGCTACAGTGCAGGAGGCCATTTGGCCCATCATGCCTGCACCAGTACCGTGAGGTCCACAGTATGACTGAGAAGAAGAATCAGGTCATTGTGCTTCCAAATCAGGAACTGATCAACCCAAGCTGGAGGAATGCTCAGTATCCATTCTTTCTGGTTACTTTGCGTAAGATGATTGTGTGTTATTATGGTGTTTGCTGTGATTCAGAGAGTAGCTTCCTCACCAATCAGTCCATTCTGCTTGTACATTCCCAATGCCAATGCAGAGGGAGTGCTGCACAATCAATGTTTCTGCCTTTTTCAGACTGTACGTCAAGGCCCAGCCTGACTTCTCGGGCGAACATAAAAGATTCCATGGCACATGGTAGGGAATTATCCCCAAGTATCATTGGCCAATAGTTATCCTTCATGCAAGATCTATTACATTGTTGTTTGTGGAATTGCTGAAAATGGCTGCATTATTTCCTGTATCACAACAGTCAGGACACTCCAATAAAAGTACTTTATTAGCTGCAAAGTACTTTAGGAATTATTAATGTTGTGAAAGATACTGTAGAAACACAAGCTTCAGTTCAACCTGAATCAGGTTTTCAGGAGAATTAACTTATAGTAGTACCTGACATTATTATAAACACCTTGTGTCTGTGATTGAACTGCAAAAAGAGAAAATTTAGCAAAAATTACCATTAATATTGTAAAACAAACAGCTGAGCCGTGCCTCCTCCTCTGATTTAAGTTCAAATACTGGATACTTTTCAATAATTCCTTTGAATCCTTCTATGGAAATTGCACTATCCCAGCAATATTTACTTTGCTGTTTTGACATTGGGAGGCATTTCTGGCCGTGATCCTTGATACCATTCATTAAGTTTGTGCCAATTTCTATTAAATACATATGGTAAATGCAAACATCCTTGGAGAACAATGGGACTTCCAATGTCATGTTTATGTTGGTGTTCAGGTGAGACCCAGTACAGAAGCTTTCACATCTGAGCTCAGGTCTCCATGGAGAGGGACCATGTGGTGTTCGTTCGCATGACAGAGGCCTTTAGAAACTGGTGGGAACCGCAGGGCTGGGTGCATCATCACCTTGGATAACATTATTTTCAATCTGATAAGTTTCTGTTGGTTGTTAGTTTATATTTTTGTTGCAGTACCCCATTAGGGGCTGGTTAACCATGTTTAACGTTTGTTTAAAAGTGTAGAATAGAGGCTAATGGCACACCGTGGAATAATGGTTATGTTACTAAACTGGTAATGCAGCTGCCCAGGTTAATAGTCTGGAGACACAGGTTCAAAGCCCACTATGGTGGCTGGTGAAATTCAAATTTAATTAACAGAAAAGTTTTAAAAACTGCTAGTCCTAGTATTGGTGATCATGAAATCAATGTTGAGTGTCATAAAAACCAATCTAGTTCACTGATAAAACTTTACTGTCATTATCTACTTTGACCTAAATGTGACTCCAGACCCATAGTGATGGGGTTAACTCTTTTGCTTTGCCAATGGCTATCTAACCTGATCCAAGGTATGTTTTGAATAGAGTACAAAGGATTGGTGGCAGGATTGCTGCCCCAACCATTTGCCAATTGTGGTTGGTTCCACAGTATGTACAACAGGAATAATTAATCATGTGTCCCTCCCTCTGAGTGCTATCAAGTGACACTGCATATTAACATAAGACAGCGATTAACTATCAAACTAAGAATTTCAGAGATGTTTCTTTTTGGAGAGTTGAGAGAATGTGGAACTCTCCTCAGTGTGAACTAGGTCAGGTGAGGGCAAGTTCACACTTAACTGCAGTATCTTCTCCAGTCAAGTATCATGTAAACGCTCACATATGAAGAATGAGTCCTTGGATAAAATATTGTATGAGGAAACCCAGAGTGAAAATCAGCATTTCAGTGGAAGTGAACAGGGAAGCCTTTTTAAAAAGTCAATGACTGATTTTCCTGTGTTGTTTTCAATGATGTTTGCTTCTCTATTCTGCAGTTGCACCAGCTCGTGTTGAACTCAGCAAGAGATAAACGAGACATGGAGCAGAGGCATGCCACCATAAAGCAAAAGGTGAGGCATAAGCATATCAGATAGTTCGGTATCAATACTACAAATCACAGAGCTACATAAGAGCCACATACTGAAGTGAGCAACACTGTCTAGAGTTATTTGTACTTTGTGACATTGAGTTAAAATCACTTTCACTCATCGACTGACTATAGACTCCTTTGTCTCCACACGAATAATTCCTGCCCATTGTCCCATCAATCACATTCAGATCTAATGCAACACAGGGTTAGATACAGAGTAAGGCTTTCTCTACATGATTTCATCAAATAATCCTAGAGTAGGTACAGCACAGTTCCAAATCTAAGTTAAACTCAAAATGATAATTCATTTTCCCTCTCTACAGATTCTGCCAAATTTGGTGAGTCTCTCCAGCCCTCTCTGTTTACATTTCAGCACAAAGTTTAAAGTTCCCTCTCCTGCTGTCCCTATCAAAAGTCCCAAAGTAGGCAGAACATGACTTGGATTCAGAGTAAAGGTCTCTCTGTACTTGACACTCTCTCAAGGCAGGTACATTGCAGAAAAGGGAGTGTGGAAAGAAAGAACAAAAGAAAAATAAGGTATCAAAACCTCTAATTTAAAAGTATGACTCCAGACCCATAGTAACATGGTTAACTCTTTTGCCTTACCAATGGCTATCTAACCTGATCCAAGGTATGTTTTGAATAGAGTACAAAGCTTTGGTGGCAGGATTGCTGCCCCAACCATTTGCCAATTGTGGTTGGTTCCACAGTATGTACAACAGGAATAATTAATCACGTGTCCCCAGCAGACTCTAATGATCAATTCCCTAGAAACTCCTGGAATTGTTTATATCCAAAAGACATTTGGAAGTGATATTGTAATTGCATAACAGTTTTGTTTTTGAAAGTCAAGAAATGCTATGACACTTAAGTATTCTTTGAATATTATGATTGTACATCAGGAATAGGCAAGATTGTTTAAAATCAAGCTCCCTGCCCCCTCCCCACTTCACTTTGCCCAGAGGTCAATAAAAAATGTGTCATCAACAAAACAGGAAATGCCCTGCCACTTCACCATCTTTTTCTGCCTTGCCTGTTCTAGTTATTTTCTACTGAAGAACAAGAACAGGCAGAGAAACGCTGCTGAGAAGAGTGGAGGAGGTAGTCTGAAATGCATGTGTTTCGATGTGAGAAGTACAATAGGCAAGGTAGATGAACTTAGAGCTTTGGTTAGTACTTGGAACTGTGACATTGCTGCGATTATAGAGATTTGGCTGAAAGAGGGACAGGACTGGCAGCTAATGTCCCAGGATTTAAATAGAAAGGGATGTAAAAGGGGTGGGAGGAGTTGCATTACTGATAAAGGAGTATCTCACAGCTGTACTGAGGGAGGATATATCAGAGGACTCATGCAGCGAGGCAGTATGGGTAGAACTCAGGAATAGGAAAGGTGAAATCACAACGTTAGGAGTACACAGCAGGCCTCCCAACAGCCAGTGGGAGATAGAGGAGAAAATATGTAGATAAATTTTGGTAAGATGTAAAAACTGCAGGCCTATTGTGGTGGGTGATTTTAACTTCCCCGATATTGACTGGGACTCACTACGTGCTAGAGGCTTGGATGGGGCAGAATTTGTAAGGACCATTCAGGAGGGTTTTTTGACACAATATGTAAACAGTCCAACCAGGCAAGGGGTTATACTGGGACAACAAGGTGCAGGGCTGGATGAACACAGCAGGCCAAGCAGCATCATAGGAGCAGATTTACTGGACCTGGTTTTGGGAAACAAGCCCAGCCAGGTGAGTGAGGTTTCAGTGGGGAAGCATTTTGGGAGTAGTACCGTTGATTTTAAGATACTTTTGAATAGGAATAACAGCAGTCCTCAGGTTAAGGTGTTAAACTGGGGGAAGGCAAACTACAACAATATTAGGGAGGAACTTGAGAATGTTGGTTGGAGGTGGCGGTTTGAGGGTAAATCTACATCGGACACGTGGGAGTCTTTCAAATGGCAGTTGGTAAGAGTTCCTGCAGCACGTTCCTGCGAGAATGAAGGACAGGTATGGCAAGTTATGAAAACCAGGGAAGTTATGACGTTGGTTAAAAAGAAAAAGGGAGCATATGTCAGGCCTAGGAGGATGGGAACTGACAAAGCCCTTAAAGTATATAAGGAAAGTAGGAAAGAACTTAAACAAGGAATTAGAAGGGCGAAAATGGGTCATGAAAAGTCATTAGCAAACAAAATAAAAGAGAATCCCAAGGCCTTTTGTACATTTATAAAAAGCAAGTATAGCCAGGGAAAGGGTTGGCCCACTCAAGGACAAAGGAGGGAATCTATGTGTAGAGCAGAACAGGTAGGTGAGGTCCTAAATGAATACTTTGTGTCAGTATTCACCAAAGAGAAGAAATTGGTGGAGGATGATCTCAGCGAAGGGACTGTCAAGTTTCTAAACTAAGTTGCTATTAAAAAGGAAGAAGTGTTGTGTGTCTTAAAAAGTATTAAGGTTGATAAGTACCTGAGTCCTGATGGGATCTATCCCAGAATGTTGAGGGAGGCAAGAGAACAAATTGCTGGAGCATTGACGAACATCTTTGTGTCCTCTTTGCCCACAAATCAAGTCCCAGAGGACTGGAGAATAACCAATGTTGTCCCGTTGTTAAAAAGGGTAGCAGGGACATGTCCTGGAAATTACAGACCAGTGAGCCTCACGTCGGTGGCAGGGAAATTATTGGAAAAGTTTCTCAGGGACAAGATCTTTACGCATTTAGAAGCAAGTGGACTTATTAGCGACGGACAGCATGGTTTTGCGTGGGGGAGACCATGTCTCACCAACTTGTCAACTTTCTTGAGGAGGTGACAAAGATGTTTGATGAGGGAAAAGCGGTTGATGTTGTCTACATGGACTTCAGTAAAGCCTTTGACAAGGTCCCTTATAGCAGATAGGTGCACAAGGTGAAGTCACATGGTATCAGAGGTGAGCTGGCAAGATGGATACAGAACTAGCTTAGTCATAGGAGACAGAGGGTAGTGGTGGAAGGATGTTTTTTGGAATGGAGGGTTGTGAATAGTGGTGTTCCACAGGGATCAGTGCTGGGACCTCTACTGTTCGAGATCTACATAAATGATTTGGAGGAAAACGTAGCTGATCTAATTAGTAAGTTTGCAGATGATACAAAGATTGGTGGAGTTGCGGATAGTGAGGAGGACTGTCAGAGGATACAGCAGGATATAGATCAGTTGGAGGCATGGGCAGAAAAATGGCAAATGCAGTTTAATCCAGGCAAATGTAAGGTGATGAATTTTGGAAAGTCAAGTACAGGTGGAAATTATACAGTGAATGGCAGAATCCTTAGGAATATTGACATGCAGAGCGATCTGGGTATGCAGGTCCACAGACCAGTGAAGGCGACAGTGCAGTTAAATAAGGCAGTAAAAAAGGCTTAAGGCATGCTTGCCTTCATTGGAAGGGGCGTTGAATATAAGGATAGACAAGTTATGCTGCAGCTTTATAGAACTTTAGTTTGGCCGCACTTGGAATATTATGTACAATTGTGGTCACCACACTGTGAGAAGGATGTGGATGCTTTGGACAGGGCGCAGGAAAGATTTACCAGGATTTTGCATGTTATGGGGGATCTTAAGTATGAAGAAAGGTTGGATAGACTGGGTTTGTTTTCACTGGACTGCAGGAGGTTGAGGGGTAACCTGAAAGAAATTTATAAGATTGTGAATGGCATGGATAAAGTGGAAAGTATGAGGCTTTTTCCCAGGGTGGAGGGGTCAATTACTAGGGGACACAGGCTCAAGGTGCAAGGGGGTAAGTTTAAAAGAGATATGCAAGGCACACAAAAGGTAATGAGTGCCTGGAACGTATTTCCAGAGGAGGTGGTGGAAGCAGACACAGTAGCAGCGTTCAAGAAACACTGGACAAATACATGAATGAGAAGGGAATAGAAGGATACAGATCCTGTAAGTGAAGACAGTTTTAGTATGGAAGGGCAAAATGTGTTTGTGCAGGCCTTGAGAACTGAAGGGCCTGTCTCTGTGCTGTATGGTTCTTTGTTCTATTTCAATCAACCTGCGATAGGGTTAGGGTTAGAATTAGAATTAGAATCCCTACAGTGTGGAAACAGGCCCTTTGGCCCAACAAGGTTATGGTTAGGATATGGTACAAATCCAGGGCAGGAGGGACTTAAATCCATGCCTCCTGGCTGAAAGGTAGAGACCGTACCATAGCACCACAACTGCAAGTGCGTCCCAGACTATCGTATCCTCGTGATCTGGCTGCATATGGGTAGTAACCAGCATCAATTAACTATCACTGCTTTACAAGCTTAAATCTCTGTCCTCAGAAGATTAAAGAAATACACAGAGTTGTGGACAGATTATTTAAAAAGCTAATGAAATATTGGCCAGTATTTCAAGACGTGCAAGTTCTATTACAACTGTAAAATTCTCTCATTAGACTATGTATTTGGATGTAATTGCGTTCTGCTGTGTACCTTGAAGTAGGTGCACTGCTAATTCACTAGATAATTGTGTTTTAAAAAATGAGGACTTTTTACAAAGATTAGGTTGAAATTCTCTAGAGTTTAGAAACTCAATGGATTATCTAATTGAATTTTAACACAATTTAAGAAGTTGCTCATGTAAAGAGAGAGAAATTGTTCCCTTTCTTGATAGAAGTCCAGAAGAAGAAAACATAACCCTAAGATTAGAGTTTGGCCATTCAGCAAGGATATCAGGAAACCTTTCTTCATACAAAGGAGTGTGGAAATCTGAAGTCCTCCCCCTCAAAAAGCAGTTGAAGCTCGGAATTACTTGTCAATGTTAAAACTGAAATCGGAAAAGGTATCGTAGGTTATGGAACTAAAACAAATAGAATTAAGATGTATATCACCTATAATTAAATTTAATTGCAAAGGAGCAGAAGACTAAATTTCCTCCTCCTGTCTGAAAGTGTAGGATAAAAACTGAAAGAACTGCGGATGCTGTAAATCAGAAACAAGAACAGAGGCTGCAGGTAAAGCTCAGCAGATCTGGCAGCATCTGTGAAGAGAAATCATAGTTAACATTTCTGTGACCCCTGCTCAGGTGACAGGTCCGGTCTGAGGAAGGGTCACCAGACCCAAAACGTTAACTGATTTCTCTTCGCGGATACTGCCAGACCTGCTGAGCTTTTCTAGCAACTTCTGTTTTTGTTTCTGAAAGGGTAGGATACCTATTTGAATTGTTGCTAGTTTAGTTAAAACATTTTTATCTTCAACAGGATGTACTTTATGATGATTTGGCAGTGGAGTTTAATATGGAAGCTCCAAATGGTGTTGTTATGGAGGGTTATCTGTATAAACGAGCTAGCAACGCCTTCAAAACATGGAACAGGTACTGTAAATATCCTTTACTCATAGTTTGAAATATGTACAAAGGCATATTAATTGTCTATAGTAAAAGGTAAGGCCTCTAAATTCTGATCCTGCTCCCATTGCTCAAGTCCGCGCTCTCACCATTGGATTGGTTCAAGAAGACAAGCTTCTATGTTCCAGCAGAACTTGCAAAATTTCTCAGCACTGTGTCCTTTTTTCATTCATTTTATCTTTATAGTCAATGTTCTCTGAACTTTCTTTTTTGTGGTTCTTTTCTCCAGAAGCGACTAAAGCGGGACCTAGTAGAGGCTATTTCTTTTAAAAAATGAGAATTCATAGTGTAGGCATGGAGAAGATATTACATTTGTAAGGGAGTCCAAAACTAGAATCCACAAAATATAAGACAGTCATCAATAAATCTAGTAGGGCATTCAGAAGAAATGTTAATACTCATCTGGATTATTCCTGGTGCTGTGTGCTAGTGGGAGTAGGAATAGGAGGATAGCGCAGATTAATGCATGGCTGTGGAGCTGGTGCAGGGGGCAAGGATTCAAATTTTTGTATCATTGGGATCCCTTCTGGGGCAGAGCTAACCTGTAGAACAGGGACGGGTTGCACCTGAAGTGTAGGGAGACCCAATATCCTGGCGGGGAGATTTCCTAGTACTATTTGGGTGGGTTTAAACTAGTCTGGCGAGGGGTTGGGAATCTAAGCAGCAGTGAGAAAAGAGTGAAGGTTGAGGCTGGTACAGAGGGAGCAAGTTAAAGATACTTGGCAGGCAAGAACATGGCAGAGAACAAGATAAGACTAATGAATTAAACTGCATTTATTTCAATGTGAGAGGCCTGGCAGGTAAGGCAGATGAACACAGGGCATGGACAGGAACATGGGACTGGGATATCACAGCAATACAGACACATGGCTGAAGGAGGGACTAAACTGTAGCTCAATATACTGGGCTATCGATACTAATAGGAAGGATACAAAGGGAGGCATGAGTGGTGTTTTTGATTAGGGAAAACATCACAGCAGTACTTAAGAGAGGATATTCCCGCGGGATTGTCCAGTGAAACCGAATGGGTGGAACTGAGAAATAAGAAGACAGTGACCACTTTGATGGGATAGTCAGCAAGAAACTGAGAAGCAAATATGTAACAGGGTTGTAATAGTAGAGGATTTTAACTTTCCAAAAATAGACTGGGATTGCCATAGTGTTAAGAGCTTGGACAGAGAGGAATTTGTTAAGTGTGTTCAAGAAAATTTTCTTTATCATTCTAAAAGTTAACGTTCTAAATTGGAGCAAGGCCAATTTTGACAGTATTAGACAGGAACTTTCAAAAGTTGATTGGAATAGGCTATTCACAGGTAAAGAGATGACTGGGAAGTGGGAGACTTTCAAAAGTTAGATAACCAGAGTTAAGAGGCAGTTATGTTCCTGTTAGTATGAAGGGCAAGGCTGGTAGGAGCAGAGAATGCTGATGGCTACAGGTATTGAGGCTCTGGTCAAGAAAAAGAAAGATGCATATGTCAGGTATGGACAGGCGGGATCAACTGAATCCCTTAGAGTATAGGAGGAGTAGGAGTATACTTAAGAGGGAAATCAGGAGGGCAAAAAGGGGACATGAGATAGCTTTAGCAGATGAGGTTCAGGAGAACCCAAAGAGTCGCTACCAGTACATTAAGCGCGCAAGAGTAATTAGGGAAAGAATAGGGCCCCTTAATGATCAACAAGGCCGTCTATGTGTGGAGATGGGTGAGATACTAAACAAATATTTCACAGCAGTATTCTCTTTGGAGAAAGACATGGAAGCCAGGGAACCTGGAAATAAATAGTGATGTCTTGAAAAGAGTTCACTTTACAGAAGAGGAGGCATTAGGGGTTTTAAAATGCATAAAGGTAGATAAATTGCCAGGATCTGATCAAATGTATCCCAGGACATTGTGGGAAGCTAGGGAATAAATTACAGAGCCCCTAGCAAAGATATTTTTATCATCTACAGCTACTGGTGAGGTTCTGGAAGACAGGAGAATGATTTATCTTGGTGCTTTTATTTAAGAAAAGCTGCAAGGAAAAGCCAGGGAACTATAGACCGGCGAGCCTGACATCGGTGGTGGGTAAGTTGTTGGAGAGGATTCTGAGAGGACTTACATGCATTTGGAAAGGCAAAAATTGATTAAGGATAGTTGCCATGGCTTTGTGCATGGGAGCTCATGTCTCTCAAACTTGAATGAGTTTCTTGAAAAGGTGACCAAGAAGATAGATGAAAGCAAAGCAATAGACGTCTTCATGGACTTTAGCAAGGCCTTTGACAAGGTTTCACATGGTAAACTGGTTAGTAAGGTTAGATCCAGGGAGGGCTAGCCAATTGGCTTGATGATAGGAGACAGAGGGTAGTGGTAGAGAGTTGTTGTTCAGATTGGAGGCCTATGACCAGCGATGTGCTGCAAGGATTGGTGCTGGGACCACTGTTGTACGTCATTTATATAAACAATTTGGATGAGAGTATGTGTAGCGTGGTTAGTAAGTTTGCGGATAAAGTCAAAATTGGTGGTACAATGGACAGTAAAGGGGGTTATTGAAGAATACAACAAAATCTTGATCGGCTGGGCCAATGGGCCAAGGAGTGGCAGATGGAGTTTAATTTAGATAAATGCAAGGTGTTGCATTTTGGTAAGGCAAACTGGGGCAGGACTTGCACAGCTAATAGTAGGGCCCTGAGTAGTGTTGTTGAACAGAGAGACCTAGGGGTTCAGGCACATAGTTCCTTGAAAGTGGGGTCACAGGTAGACAGGGTTGTGAAGAAAGCGTTTGGCACGCTTGCCTTCATTGGTCGGAGCATTGATTACAGGAGCTTGGGCGTCACATTGTGGTGTACGACACATTGGTGAAGCCACCTTTGGAGTACTGCGTACAATTCTGGTCGCCCTGCTATAGGAAGAATGTTATTAAAACTGGAAAGGGTGCAGAGAATATTTACAAGGATGTTACCGAAACTGGAGGGTTTGAATTATAAGGAGAGGCTGACTAAGCTAGGAACTTTTTCCCTAGAATGTAGGAGGCTGAGGGGTGACTTTATAGAGGATTTTAAGATCATGGGAGGCATAGACAGGGTGAATAGCCAAGGTTTTTTCCCCAGGAGAGGGGAAAGAGGGCATAGGTTTACGGTGAGAGGGGAAAGATTTAAAAGGGACCTAAGGGGCAACTTTCTCGCACAGAGAGTGGTGCCTATATGGAATAAACTACCAGAGGAAGTGTGAAGGCAGGTACAATTGTAACATTTAAAAGGCATCTGGATGGGTACATGAACAGGAAAGGTTTAGAGGGATATGGGCCAAATGCAGGCAAAGGGGACTAGTTTAGTTTAGGAAACCTGGTCGGCATGGACAAGTTGGACTGAAGAGTCTGTTTCCATGCTCTATGACTCTGAGTGGTGACACTGTGTAATTCACTACCATGGGGTTTAGTTGAGGCAAATAGCATTGATGCGTTTTAAGGGGAAGATAGATAAACACGTGAGGGAAAAAAGATTAGATTAGAAGGTTTCGTTTGGATGAAATAGGGTAGACAGAGGCATGTGTAGAGTAAAAGCACCAGTATGAACCAATTGGGACAAACAATCTGTTTCTCTATTGTAACTTCTATGTCATGTTCCCAAGCTCTAAATCCCCCATACACACTCTTCAACTCCATTTCCTCACCGTGTCTTCAAATCAATAATTATCACTGTCTCTGAATCATTCTATTTAATACTGATTTCTTCCATCAGAGTGTTGTGAATCTTGTGAATTCTCTGCCCCAAAGAACTGTATAAGGTGTTGGAGTAGATCTGTAGCTCGGGTTGTGGGTGTTGAGGTTGGTTGGCTCGCCGAGCTGGTTTGTTGTTCCGCAGATGTTTCGTTACCGTGCTTGGTAACATCCTCGGTGCAGCCTCTGATGAAGCGTCGGTGTGTTTTCCCGCCTGGTTTTTAAACTCTGGGGTCCGTTGCGATGGATTGCCTCGCTTCCGGGTTTCCTCCTTAGTGGAATGTATATGCGGTCGAGTTCAATGTGTTTATTAATAGCATGCTTCGTGGAGTGCCATGCTTCCAGGAATTCTCGTGCTTGTCTCTGCCTAGCCTGTCCCAGGATGTGGCACACAAGCCCTCATCAAAACTACAACAAGTGCTCACCCGAACTAAAGACCCACTCCCTGCCATGGACAGGACCAATGTCATCTACAAGATCCTCTGCAGAGACGACGAGAAACACTACATCAGACAAACAGGAAGGAAACTAACAACAAGAGTACATGAACACCAACTGGCTACAAAAAGACACGACCAATACTCACTCATCTCAATCCACATGGACAAGGGGAACCACCACTTCGACTGGGACAACACCAAGATCCTGGGACAGGCTAGGCAAAGACAAGCACGAGAATTCCTGGAAGCATGGCACTCCACGAAGCAGGCTATTAATAAACACATTGAACTCGACCCCATATACATTCCACTACGGAGAAACCCAGAAGTGAGGCAATCCATCGCAATGGACCCCAGAGTTTAAAAACCAGGCAGGAAAACACACCGACGCTTCATCAGAGGCTGCACTGAGGATGTTACCAAGCACGGTAACGAAACGTCTGCGGAACAACAAACCAGCTCGGCGAGCCAACCAACCTCAAGAACTGTACAAGCTGAATCATTGATTACATTCAAGGCTACGATAGACAGATTCTTAAACTATAAGAGAATCAAATGTTGTAAGGAACAGCAGGAAAATGGAGTTCAGGCCAAACCAGATTGGCCAGGAATCTACAGGAGGCCATTCAAAGAACTGGAGAAGTACACCAGCAGTGGCTGTGCAAGATCCTCCAAACCCAGTGGCAAGAAATACAGTTTAACAGCAACGCCATCTTCCAAGACAATTAACCCAGCATCAAGGCGTCTATCATTCATTCAAAAGCAGTTTCAGCGGCAGGATATATTGTTGTATTTCTGACCATGGATTTCTAAAGCAATCATTCTACTTGAAACCCAGTCAGACAGGAGAGTTCTAGGAGGACAACATTTGGGGATGTCCTTAAAGCATTTTTGAAGATTTTACATACATCCTTGCCAACTTGTAGGAATCCCCAGCTTGTGACTGACCAAAGTGGAGAATGTGTTTATTTGGAAAAGCATTAGGCACATCAAGAGACTTCTACCAGACAATGCAGAGGTGAAACATGGTGTCGAGGGAGCACAGAAGCCTCCAAATCCTCATCTGCCCTATCTTTCAAACACCACCAGCCCGACATGTGGCAGAGTCTGTAGATTGACCATTAGACTTAACAGCCATCTCAAACCGCTTAACCAGAAGGAAACCATGTCATCCTTAATCTCAAGGAATTGCATAAAAAGGAGAAAATAAAGAATGACATGCAGATTCAAGCTGCCACAAAGGCTATTCCTGCACTTATTTTCTTATGATCAGAAACTACTCAAATCCATTCATCTACCTATTTTCCTACGTTTGATTGCCTTTTAAATTCCAAAAAATCCCATTACAGGAAAATGCATTTTTTAAAATTCGGCCTTCTCCTATTATGAACCATACCTAAACTAGATTTGTAGGTCAAGTTTATACTGGTTGCACAAGGAGGGTAGTTCAGTTTTCTAATGGCTGTACTAGAAATATAAAAATTGATGGTAAGAAACAAGAAACGCAGACTCAGGATCCATTGCTAGGAACACAAACTGTGGGTCATCACTTGAAAGGGAAAGTTAGAAGAAAGGGGCAAAATCTTGTAGGAGCCTGAATGACATGAGCTGTGGCAAAATTTGTAGCTGAATCGCACAAAAAGTCCAGCAAAGTCTTATCTCTTATTCATCTTTTGTGCATCTGCTGATGTCGAGCAAGTTTCTCAACAAGCAGCGGTGAGTTCTATATTAGGAAAGATTATTGCTTGTTAACCACCTTACTAACTGCATATCCTACCTAATTAATATGCAGTTTCCTATCTTATCAATTTAATATGAAAATCAGATTGGATACTTGGCGACTTTATATTACAGCCAGTTGTGAAGAGTCTCCATGTGGTTTAGCGCAACACGGCAACCCTAGGGCAGAATTCCAGCATTGAGAATATGTTGGCCTCGTTGAAATTTAGTTTCGGGCTGAGGTGACCTCTCGATTGAGGTCGTCTTCATTGTTTGCTTGGCTATGTCTTTGTCTGCATTTTTTTTCTCACCACAGTTCTGTTCTATATTCACAGACGATGGTTTTCCATTCAAAACAATCAGCTCGTGTACCAGAAGAAGCTAAAGGTGAGTCTGATTGCTTATGAGCTTATAAACATAAAGTAGCTTACTTGCATCCGCTTCATTTCTAAGTCATAAACATGGCTGTGAAACCAATTCCAGGCATTCCGGCTTGACAAAACTGCTCTAACACTAGATAAACGGTGCAAATGAAATTAAAAATTGCTTTCATGCAACACCCTTCACCACCTGGGGAAAAATCCATAGCTTTTTTAGTAGCCATCGAAGTATTTGAAACAGTTGCTGTTGTAATGTAAGCAATTCAGCAGTTAATTTGAGCACAGTGAGCATCCACTATCGGCAACAATATATATAACTGGATTGCGACTAACATATAAAGTTTAAAAGAGGAAGCTTGGGTGCAATATTAGGCAGCACAGAACTGTTGGACCATGTGAACCAATTGTCTATTTCTCTTCTATACATTCTAGGTGATTGCATGGATGAGTTAATTTGGGTTCATGAGCAAGTGGAAAAATGGTGGTATGTCACTGGGCCAGCAATAGCAAGGCCCAGAGTAATGTGTTGGAGACTTGGGTTTAAAATCCACCAGGACACCTAGTAGAATTTAAAATCACTTAATTCTAGAATTGAAAGGGAATCTCTTACCAATTAATAAACCAGATCAATTAATAAACCAGACTCCTAACGGTTCTTGGAAATAGTCTAGAAAACCACTGAGATTGAGGTCAAGTGTTGGCCATGCCTGAGGTCCCCACGTTCCATGAAAAAATTAAAATTCCACTGTGTATTCTGCTAATTTGCTAATAAATTGAAAGAAGCTGTAATTTCAATTCATTATTTTCAATAATACAGGATAATCTAACGGTTGTAGTGGAAGACCTCCGACTGTGTACGATAAAGACTGGTGCAGACAGTGAGAGACGATTCTGCTTTGAAGTCGTGTCTCCATCAAAGTGAGTGTGAATTTGCCAATGCCTAGTAAATCTTTAATATTGATCAGTCTTCTGAACAGATAAGGGTGAACAGAGCATGTAGTGTTCAGTCATGCAAGGCCAAGAATGCTAGTGTACTTCGTTTTCATTGCCGTTCCTTCATTTTCAGATCTGTTCCATCACAAAATCTTTTATTGTTTTTAAGAGTTTGGTAACAACATGCAAATCTGTGGGCTAAACTCTCCTCGCCACCTATGCGGGATGAGGAAGCTTCAGCATGGTGCTATTTATAGCGTAAGCATTCTGCCCTTTGATTGGAGAACAGGCGCAAGGTTGATCTGTACCTCTAATTAAGTTGTGTACATTGCCCCATATCCTTTGATACCTTTGCCCACAAATATCTAAAGCTCCATTTTTTTTTCTTCAGCAGTTTCAACCTTTTGGGGAATAATTGATTGTGTTAATCCTTTGAAACAGTTAGCTAATAATTCCATTCATTCTCCACAACCTTCCAATGTTTACTTTTGAAAGTATTTATTTAATTCCCTTTGAAAGTTACCATTGAATCTGCTTCCATCACCCTTTCAAGCAGAGCATGCCTCTCTGTTTTTTTAAAAAAACTCATGTCCCCTCTAGTTGTTTTGTCAATTATTTTAAACCAAAGCGCTCTAGTTATTCAAAATTTGTTACAGTATGGAAATAATTCTTCTAATTCACTATCAAAACGCCACATAATGTTTGAATATTCCACACTTCAATTAAATTTCCCCATAGCTTTTTCTGCTCTAAAGCAAGGACAATCTCGCTTTTGCTGGGTCTAGTACATAATGTAAGATAGTCAGGCTCCTCTTTATCCTGAATTATTCATCCTTGAAACTTTGTGCACAATGAGAAACAAGATCCTTTAGACAGAAAGTTTAAGGAATTGATGTGGAAAGAGTATTGCTGATTTCTGTCAAGGTCAGCAATGAGTGTTGGGAAATCAGATACAACCTGACAATCGCCCAGTGTCTATCAATAGAACTTGGAGTATAGTAGCTTTGCCTATACAGTAAAATCATATTAATCACAGCAAACTCACCCACAAATCCACATTAAGCAGAGTTTTGGGATAGTCAAGTTAAGTTCCTGTCTAACCTGATTTGCTTACAAACAAGCGCTGTCAAAAAAAATGAAAAAACAGATTTTGTGAAAATGTCATTACTTTTCCATTTGATCACACCTTAAATGCATGACTTTGTACAGTAAAGGCATTCAAAAATGCTGGGAATTAGGTCTGAAAATTAGGTTTTCCAACTTAGCATACTGTGTTTCAATGAGTGCAAAGCTGTTGGCCATGTTGTCAGTACAGTCAAACATATTTCCCATGCTTTCATGCTGCTGTGCAAAATCCCAGTACTTCAGAATAATCGACAAACCCACTGGTGGAAACTCCCACTCCTTCACACTGCAGTTTTTCACTGCATATCACTTCTCTTTTTCTCCAATCTACAGTGTTTTTAATTTCCTCACAGGTTTAACCAGACCTGAACATTGTTTTGATCTTGGTGTTCAATTTTGGCTTGCCTGTGATTTCGTGCTCCAGCAAGCCTACCTCTGCTCTGATTTGTTGCCATGGTCCTATGTAAAGCATGCATGAATTCAGCTAATCCAGAGTTTACCAGACCAGAAATTTGGTTTATCATGGGCATCTTTCATCCTGTTCTGTCGTTAGGAATGAATGAAAACTTCACCACAACTGATGTTTCAAGTTTTCCAAATTTGAATTATCCTGATTTCCCTGTATTATTGAACTGGTAAACCAGAAACCATGATTTCAAATTGCTGTTTAAAGATCTGTCTGAATTCACTTTAACAAATCTGAAAATAAAAGGCTGGTATCAGTAAAAGTGACCACAATCTATCAGATAGTCAGTCATAAAACCCTAAACAGTTCATTAATGTCCTTTTAATGAGGAAGACTTATTATCCTTATCCACTCTAGTCTGGTATCCAGGCTCTCACAGGCCGTTGCCTCTTGTGTTTAGTGAGAATCAGTGTCTATAAAACTATACAACAAACGGTACCTAAAATACCATTATGGACAATAAGTATGCACCTTGCTAATTGGTCTCACGTCCCACGATGAATATACTGCAATCAGAGCCTCAAACTCAATGAAGGGCAATGCTTGACTGACATACACCTCACGTTTTCCTTCACACATACAAAACATGAGCACTGCTATTGGAACACAGTTTTAAATGGTAAATTATTTTAATATTTACAAGACTTGCAGCCGTGATGCCCAAGTTCCCTATTCTTATGCTTTCCTTCTGTTCCCTGGCAGGAGTTGCATGCTTCAGGCTGACTCTGAGAAACACCAGCAAACTTGGATCCTGGCGGTACAATCAAGCATTACAACAGCATTTAATGAGAGACGAGAGGATAATTATTCGGTACAGATAAATTTATCTAAACTTCACAATGATGGGTTCCATGCATACACACTGAATATCACTGGGGTATGGATTCCACGTGTTCTGACACTCGACAGGTACAATTCCAACAAATCAGCTCTCACTAGGATATTGATTCTATACACTCTCACTGGGGTATGGGTTGCACACACCCTGACTTACTGGAATTTGGATTCCACACACAATAAGTCTCACAGGAGTGTAAGTTCCCCACACAATGGTATATAACTATGTAGACACTAACTCTCACTGGGTACTATTCACACATACTGATTCTCAATGGTGGGGGTGGGGGCTTCCATTATGTCAACAAAATGGACTTCCTTCATTTCAGATCCTACAGACTGTAAAATATTCATCACCATTTTTCATCTCTGCTGAGGTGAATGCCTGATGTCACAGAGCCGTGTGTTTTCATCGTGACTATTGGGCTGTGATCAGGAACAGGAACCCAGCTGATTTTTACACTTCTCGAAACAAGAATTTAACTGTGGTCCCTCGATTACCCTCCTCCAAATTGAAATCAAGGACCAGAATGAGGGTGGAATTTGGTTTGTGTGGTTCAATTCCCAGTCTAGGGAAACTGTTCAGCATCCTTCCTGAAACTTATCCTGAGTCTGCTGAACTATGGACTATACTTTTTTTAAGAATTTCTTGCTGTTGTTATCTACATTTGTTAGCATTCAGCTTGGTGTCTTTTCAGAAGTTGGAAAGGACTTCGTCTATGTCTACAGGAGTCTTGGATTTCCCTGACGAAGCAAGACCCGGAAAGGAAAAGGGTCTCGAGCAGGTGCAAGGCATCCCAGGGAATGCTCAGTGCTGTGACTGCAATGAACACCTGCCCGAATGGGCCAGCATCAACCTTGGCATTACCCTCTGCATAGAATGTTCTGGAATCCACAGGTAAAGGGCAGGAGAGAGGCATGTTTGGCCACTAACATAAATTTTAATTTGTTTCAGTCTCTGAATACACCCTTTGAGGTATCTAAGTATTGAAAAGAAGAATGTATGATATTTGTTATATAGACTTTCTGAAGTATTTGACAAAGTTCTTTAACAATTTGAATGAGTTATAGGTGAAACTCTTATTAAAAGCAAATTACTGACAAGATTCTGTAGCACATAAGCAGTCCAACCAGGGAAGGGGTTATATTGGACCTGGTTTTGGGAAATGAGCCTGACCAGGTGAGTGAAATTTCAGTGGGGGAGCATTTTGGGAGTAGTGGCCATAATATTGTAAGTTTTAAGATACTCATGGATATGGATAACAGCAGCCCTTGGGTGAAGTTGTTAAATTGGAGGAAGGTGAACTACATGAATATTCGGCAGGAACTGGAGAATATTTATTGGAAGTGGCTGTTTGAGGGTAAATCCATATTGGACATGTGGAAGTCTTTGGCAGCACATTCCTGAAAGAATGAAGGATAGGTAGGGCAAGTTACATCAACCTTGGATGACCAGGGAAGTTATGACCTTGGTCAAAAAGAAAAAGGGAACATATGTAAGGCCTGGGAGGATGGGAACTGACAAAGCCCTTGAAGTCTATAAAGAAAGTAGGAAAGAGCTTAAACAAGGAATTAGAAAGGCTAAAAGGGGTCATGAAAAGTCAATAGCAAACAGGTTTATAGGGAATCCCAAGACTTTTTGTACATTTATAAAAAGCAAGAGGATAGCCAGGAAAAGGGTTGGTCCACTTAAGCACACAGGAGGGAATCTATGTGTATAGCCAGAACAGGTAGGTGAAGTCCTAAATGAATACTTTATGTTGGTATTCACCAAAGAGAAGGAATTGGTGGAGGATGATCTCAGGGAGGGAGTGTCGAATTTCTAAGCCAAGTTGCTATAGAAAAGGAAGAGGTTTTGGCATCTTAAAAAGTATTAAAGTCCCAGAGAACTGGAGAATGGCCAATGTTGTCACATTGTTTAAGAAGGGTAGCAGGGATAATCCTGGAAATTGCAGGCCTAAGAGCCTCATGTCGGTGGTAGGGAAATTATTGGAAAACATTCTCAGGGACAAGATCCAGAAGCCTTTAGAAGCAAACAGTCTTATTAGCAATGGACAGCATGGTTTTGTGTGGGGGAGGTCATGCTTCACTAACTTCACCAAGCTTTTTGAGGAGGTGACAAAGATGATTGATGAGGGAAAAACGGTTGATGTTGTACACAATGACTTCAGTAAAGCCTTTGACAAGGTCCTTCATGGCAGATAGGTACACAAGGTGACACAGTATCAACGGTGAGGTAGCAAGATGAATACAGAACTGGCTTAGTCATAGGAGACAGAGGGTGGCAATGGAATGGAGGATTGTGAATAGTGGTGTTCCACAGGGATCAGTACTGGGACCTCTACTGTTCGTGATCTACATAAATGATTTGGAAGAAAACGTAGTTGATCTAATTAATAAGTTTGCAGATGATACAAAGATTGGTGGAGTTATGGATAGTGAGGAGGACTGTCAGAGGATACTGCAGAATATAGATCAGTTGGAGTTATGGGCAGAAAAATGGCAAATGCAGTTTAATCCAGACAAATGTAAGGTGATGAATTTTGGAAGGTCAAGTACAGGTGAAAATTATACAGTGAATGGCAGAACCCTTAGGAGTATGGATATGCAGAGCGATCTGGGTATGCAGGTCCATAATCAGTGAAGGTTACAGCAACAGGTAGATAAGGTAGTTAAAAAGGCCTGTGGCATGCTTGCCTTCATTGGAAGGGGCATTTAGCATAAGGATAGACAAGCTATGCTGCAGTTTTGTAAAACTTCAGTTAGGCCTTACTTGGAATATTGCGTACAGTTCTGGTCACAGAAAAAGATTTACCAGGATGTTGCCTGGTATGGGGGATTTTAGCTATCAAGAAAGGTTGGATAGACTGGGTTTGTTTCCACTGGAATGCAGGAGGTTGAGGGGCAACCCGATAGAAGTTTATAAGATTGTGAATAGCATGGATAGAGTGGAAAGCTAAGACATTTTCCCATGGTGGAGAGGTCAACTACTGGGGGACACAGGTTCTTTGTGTGGGGGTTAAGAGATGTGTGAGGCAGGTTTTTCACACAAAGAGTGATGAATGCCTTCAATACACTGCCAGAGGAGGTGGTGGAAGCAGACATAATAGCAGCGTTCAAGAAATACCTGGACGAACACATGAATAGGAAAGGAATAGAGGGATACAAATCCTGCAAATGAAGACAGTTTTATTGTTGAAGGGCAAAATGTGTTGGTGCAGGCTTGGAGGGTCAAAGGGCCTGTTCCTGTGCTATATTGCTGTTTGTTATGAAATTAGTTGTGCAATAGGAAGCAACAGGAGTAGTGGTCAAGTATTCTAGTTTCAGAACGTGACTAATGGTTTCCTGCAAGGATCTGTGTTCAGCCTCAACCGCTCAATGTATTCATTAATGTCTTAGATGATTATAGGAAGGCATGGATCTAAATTTGCCAATAATGCAAAGTTGAGTTCAGTCCTTAAATCCGTTCTACCATTCAATTAATCATTGCTGATTTCATGGAATCCCTACAGTATGGAAACAGGCCCTTTGGCCCAACAAGTCTACACTGACTCTCTGAGCATCCCATCCCAGACCTATCCCCCTATAACCCACCTAATCTACACATCCCTGAATGCTATGTGCAATTTAGCACGGCCAATCCACCTAGCCTGCACATTTTTGGACTGTGGGAGGAAACCGGAGCACCCAGAGGAAACCCACGCAGACACGGGGAGAATGTGCAAACTCCACACAGACAGTCGCCCGAGGGTGGGATCGAACCCGGGTCCCTGGCTCTGTGAGGCAGCAGTGCTAACCCCTGAGCCACCGTGCTGCCCCATATCTTAACTCCAGATATCTGCCTCGGTTCTGTAACATTTTAATACCCTTACCTCCAACAAAAATCTAACAAGATCAGTTTTGACATTTTCATTTGAATCTGTGTGTCAATGATTTTTTAGGGAGAAGAGTTCCAGGTTTCCACTATCCTTTGTGTGAAGAGCTTCCTAACATTATTCCTGAATGGCTTAGCTCTAATTTTAAGTTTAAAACCTCTTGCTCAAATTTGTCTTAATTCTACAATTGTTAGTCAGGATAGTGATGAAAATAGCTGTGATTAAACAGTACTGGTTACAGAGTCAGTAATCAGTTATTTTCTTTCTTTTCACTTGTTGCTTTGGCCCAGAGATTTACATTCATAATTTTTTAATATGTTATTCTCCTGAGGTGTACTGTTAATTTAATTGTAAAACTCCGAAATATTGAGCTGAATGCTGAGAGTGAGTAAAAAATCTAATTGTTAGGAAAAACCCCAGCATTGATCTTTAGGAATCAGTCATAAGAATGTAAGGAGTGGGATGAGATTGTAACTCAGAAAAGAGGCTAAAGACATGACAACTGGAAGCGCATACTGAGCAAGAGAGAACTAATTTTGGTTCTTTTATTTCTGTCAGGAGTCTAGGTGTCCATTTTTCAAAAGTCCGGTCACTGACTCTTGATTCCTGGGAGCCTGAATTGTTAAAGGTGAGTACTTTCCAGGCTCAATATAGTTTAAACTATATAATATGGGATGACCTGCATTTAAATTCCCCTTTACCATCTCTACGCCCCCTTATTTTTCTCTCTGCTTTTCCTCCTTTCCTCTCATCACTACTTCCCTGCACCCTTATCTCACATCCATCCTTTTGTCCCCTCCCTCCTCTTCACCCTTTCCTTTCTCTTCACTTGTCCTGAACTCACCCTTCCTTTGCTTCCCCCCTTTCAGCCTTTTCTTCTTTCTATCTCTTCCCTTCTCTCTCTCTCACCACAGCCCCCATTTCTTTTCCCTTTTCCTTTCCCATTCTACTTCACATTCCCCCCCACAACACTTTCTCAGGCTCTCTCCTTTTTCCTCCCAATTCCCCTCGCAGTTTACCTTCTCTGCAGCCTTTTCCACCCCTGGTTTTAACACTCACCCCTGTAGTCTGCTCACTCATCTCCATTCCTCATTGTTCTTTGTCTCCCACTCCCCTGTCACTCAACCACTACCCCCACCACCCCTTTTTTAACTCACCAGATCCCCTCTTGATCTCTGAGCTTTCACTACTACCCTAACCCTGCTTTAATTTTCCTCTCATTCTGTCACCCCTTTCACACTTTGTTTCTCTTGCAAACAGCTGATGTGTGAATTGGGAAACTCTACCATTAATCAGATCTATGAAGCTCGAATTGAAGAGATGACAGTGAAAAAGCCTCACCCTGGATCTCCTCGGTAAGGATTACAGTATGAGGATAACATCTGTTTTCAGGTTGCAGAGATCTTGTTTTACCTTTATCCTGAATGTTGATAAAAGGCATACTGAATGACAGCTTCTTTCACTACTCTCCTTACTTAGGCAGGAGAAAGAAGCCTGGATTCGGGCCAAGTATGTGGAGAAGAAATTTATCCACAAACTTCCAGAAAGTGGCATCAGACTTCGAAGGTGTAGCTTAAAACGAAATCAGCATCCCACTACCCTGGAGAAAACCCAGAAACCTGAAAAACCACCAAAACCTTTCTTGAAGCCAAAAGGGAAAACCTTCTCCTCGAACTCAGGTTAGATTGAAATTTCCTTTGGTTTAAATACCATTGACCACAGGTCATTACCACTTGCTGTGCAAAATAGGTTTTCCTCACATACCACAGTATCACTTGTCTAAAACCTTAAATCTATGTCCCATAGGGCTTGCATCATCAATAAATGGGAATGGAAACCTGTGATGATCTTGTTCTTCGCAGTGAGGTCCCTCCTCAGCCCCTTTGCTTTTAGAAGAGCTCCAGGTTCTCCAACCTTACTTTGTAATTAAAATCCTTTATCCCTAGAGTAATTTTTGTAAATCTCCTCTGTACCCTCTCAAGGACCCTCATATCCTTCCTAAAGTGCAGTACCCAGAAATGGACAACATACTCTGGTTGTAGTCTAACCAGAGCTTCATGCAGGTTGAACGTAACTTCCCTGCTTTCATACACGATGCCTCTATTTATGATGTTCAAGATCCTGGAAACTTTGCTAATTACCCTTTCAATGTGTCCTGCCACCTTCAAGACTGATATACATTAATCCCCAGATCTCTCTTTAACTGCACACTCTTTAGAACTGTACCTTTCAGTCTCTATACCGCTCTCTATCCCTTCTGCCAAAGTGCATCACCTCACATTTCTCAGTATTAAATTCAAGTTACCAGTTGTCTACCTCTTCCAGTAGCCTATGCCCTGTTACAGCTGATTGATAGCAATCACATTGTTTCCCACACCTTCAAGTTTGGTATTATTCTGATAGTGACAATAATGTAGAGGTGCCAGTGTTGGACAGGGGTGGACAAGGTCAGAAATCACACAACACCAGGTCATAGTCCAGCAGGTTTATTTGAAAACACAAGCTTTCAGAGCCTTGCTCCTTCTTCAGGGGATAGTGAGAGAGGTGGTATTTACAGAATTTATAAGTAAAAGATCAAAGGGAGACACCACTGATGAGGATGTTTTAAACAAACCTAAGTTGCTGTTAAATCCTTAATCAGTTAGAAGGTTTTAGTTGATCAATAACGTAAATGTATATGTAAATCCCTGAATTTCTTTCAAGTCACTGCACTGAGAGAACTAAAGGTTTTATCAGTGTAAAGAAGAGGTGACATTTTAGGTCAGACAATGAAAGTTAGGTATGAGACCTTGTTTAGAATCTGTTGGTGTTTTACAGTCAGACTGGTTTTATTTGTAAGTTAGGAATTTATAAAATGCCACATTGACTGACTGTCTATAGATGGCGTGTTTTTTGAATAAAATAGAATGTACCTGCAAATACAAATTCACCCCATAGATTTACAGGTGTGTGTGCGTGTGTGTGTGGGATGGGGGTAGGGAGAGTGTGTGTGTGTATGTATGCGTTTGTGTGAGTGTGTGTGCGTTTGTGTGAGTGTGTGTGTGAGAATGTATAGTGTGGTGGGGTCGCCTGTAGTGCGACATGAACCCAAGATCCTGGTTGAGGCCATCCTCATGGGTATTGAACTTGGCTATCAGGCTCTGCTCGGCGACTCTGCATCGTTGTGTATCCCAATGTCTGCCTTGGAGGACATTTACCTGAAGATCTGAGGTCGAATATTCTTGACCGCTGAAGTGCTCACCCTTTGGGAGGGAACATCCCTGTTTGGCAAAGCAGCATGAATCTATAGGATCATGATGTAATATTGCGTGACTAAGAGACAGAGTTAAATAGAGCTCTCATGGAGATCATTAGAGGATGGACAATGGGAGAATCTTGTAAAACGACTGAGGAAGTATAAAATAATCTGTAGAGATTCACATGGATATACTATGTTAGCTACGCATAATGCAGAGATTCTGTACCAATAAAACAGCATCCTTATCAGTTCAGCTCAGAAACACAAGCTCGGGGAGGAAAAAGAAATTCAATACATTCTGGAAAATTACTTGAACCCAATCAAAGCACCTAGTATTCACCAGTATCAGTTCCTAAAATGGATAGATCAATTAGATTCAACTACATGCAGTCAGAAATAAGATTTGTACTCATTTCCACTATTAGAAGATTGTATTTACAGGAAAAGACAGGGTAGATAAAGATAAACTATTTCTACTGGTTGAGGATTCTAGAACTAGAATTAGGGTCAGACTATTGTGGAGAGATTTCTAGACATTTTTACACACAAAGGGCGATAGATGTTTGGAAGTCTTTTCCACAAACAGCAGT